TGAATACGAGAGTCATCAGCATATACTTGGTTTTTTTAAACATAAGATTTCATGAAATTATTGAGGGAGTGAGTGTACATAGAGAAAGATTTGAGGATCAAGACTGTTTAAGGATAGAGGAAATGAGAAAGAATTAGCAAAGAAGCAAGATTTTTTAACCAAGAGTTTGTGGTATAGTGAAAGCCAAGCGAAGAATATATTTCAGTGAGCAGGGAGTGATCAACCAGGTCAACTGCTGCTGAGGGGTTCAAGTAAGATGAGAACTGAGATGTTTAGTAAAGTGGAGATAGATGGCTGTGGACCTGGTAAGAGCAATTTCAGTGGAGCGCTTGTTGGTTTATTTGAGTGTGTTCAAGAGGACAGGAGAACAAGGACTGAAGAAAGCCAGGTCAGGCAACTCTAGAGGAATTTTGTTGTAAAAGGTTTCAGAGGAATGCAGTGGTAGTTAGAAAGGGAACTGGAATCAAAAGAAGTTTTTGGTTATTTTGTTTGTTTGTTTTGCCTTTTTTTTTAACTACTGGATAAAAAGGACATGTTTCTACGCTGATTGGGATCATCCAGCAAAGAGGGAAAACTGATGATTGTGGAAATTAGTTTTGAATTTGCTCTTGAGCAGTGAGAGGGGCTGGGAGCTGGTGAACAAGTGAGGTCCCCTTGTAGAGGCAGGAGGCCCAGTAGCGGGCAGGGGAGGTGCAGAGCTTTGTGGGTTCTGTTCTGATTGCTTCATTTTTCTCAATGAAATGGGAAGCAGAGTCATCAGCTGAGAGTGAGGATGGAGAAGGAGGTGTTTAAAGTTTGAGAATGGAAAATGAGAAAAGAAAGAATAATTTAAAAGAGTAGAAAAGCAAATGGACCAAGAAGACATGGAGTGATTGCTGAGCAGCCCTGGGCTCCACTTCATATTTAAGGTTATGAATCCAAAGTAAGTGCAGTGAGCATGGCCGCACCCCTTCTCTAGCCACAACAGTTGCACAGCCTCAGGTCTGCAGTGGAGAGCAGGGTTTAATCAGGGTTGGTGTTTTGTCAAGTAAGAGGAGCAACAGAGATGAAGATGTGTTCGCAGGAGTGCTAACGGTCATTGACCATGGTATTTAAGCTGTATAAGGAGAAAGGTGAGGGAAAGAAAGGGTTAAGGGACATGAAAATGAGGTAGAATTGAGTCCAAGGGTACTTGAGGAAGGGAGCTAATCATTTAGGAGGGATTAATCAGAGAGTGGGATGCTCAAAATTGAGATTGTGAAACTGTTGAGTAATGATATAATTTAGGCTATAACAATGGGAATGAACCTCTAAGTCAGGATGGAAGATAAGATCTGAAAGGAAAGGAGATCATAGTATTAACAGGCTAGGAATCTGTATTAAAAAACACTGATTCTGAAGCAGAGGGTCCAAGGACTGTGTTTTGAGGAAACACCATTTTAGGGAGAGGTGACTAGCTAAACATAAATTTTTTAGTTCAATCAGAAATCATGAGGTGGGGGAAAAACACAAAGACTACTAACAGAATGTTGTGTGTTGAGTGTGCTGGACACGATGTCAAACAGTTACATGCATCGTTTTATTTATTCCTGGCAACAAAACTGGATACTCGAGATTGTTATCATTCTTACTTTACAAATGATGAACATGAGGGCCAGGGAGGCTACACGATATGCCCAAGGACACCTCTGTCTGAACCTGAACTCTGTGCTCTTAACTATTATGTCTGTCTCCCCTGAGAGGTGCAGTGATTATGATAGAGCAGGTGATATTAAAATCTCATCCAGAGATGTGAGTAATACTTATGGGGTTAGAGACTCTTGAGAACAATATTGTATACAAAGGCCAGTAATATGCATTATCTCATCTACTCCTCATATAAAGCCTGAGTATTAAGCAATTTGCCCTGATCATGGGGCCAGTGAGTAGCAGAGACTGGATGTGAAAGCTCATCCTCTGACCTCTTACTGTATACTCCCTCCGCTAACTTCCACCATCACTTTCCAGGCATGGTTCAGACAGAAACTTTAAAAAGAGTCTAAACAGTTTTGAATAAATGTATTAAGGAAACCAATACTAGTTATTTCATTTTTAGAATCTAACAGGATAAGTCTGATAATTCCTATGTTTCCATGGGATATCAGTTAGTACAGAATGTAGCATTCTTCCTGTTGTGGAATGTTTTTTCTACACACTCATGCACTCATTCAACTATAATTTATTGAGCAAATAGTCTGTGCAGGCACTAGGCTAGGTGCAGAGGATACAACTGAATAAGAAATATCCCTCCTCTAAAGGAACCTTCAGCCAGCTCTAGGGCTTCAAAACCTGATACTCTACAGGGCTTTTTCATGCCTGGTGCAATTTAAGGCACTACATTTGACCTAGAATACACTCTATCCCTTAGGACCCAGTTACCTAAGAGATCATTCCTCTCCCCGATGGTTTGGCACAAAATAAGATCAGCTGTAGTGCCTGGGAGATGGAATTTTAGCTTTAGACCTTGGGGAAATAGACCTGGAGTGTCTTCCAAAAAAGGATTTTGCTACTCTAAGAGGGTCGAATTTTAAAGCTAGATTGAAAAATATACCCTTTGCCTGGCATTCTAACTGGCTCAGTGGTTCTGTATTCATGCTCATTCACCACTTGACCACGCCTTTTGCTAGAAATACTGGATTTGTACATGCCACGTAATGTTTATGGACCAGCCCTGGCAGTCTAGTGGTTAAGATTTGGTGCTCTCACCTTCACACCCTGGGTTTGGGAACCACATCACCCATCTGTCGGTTGTCATACTGTAGTGGCTGTGTGTTGCTGTGATGCTGAAAGCTATGACACTGCTATTTCAAATACCAACAGGGTCATCCATTGTGGACAGGTTTCAGTGGAGCTTCCAGACTAAGACAAACTAGGAAGGACTTGGCCACTCACTTTCGAAAACATTGGCTACGAAAACCCTATGAATAGCAACAGAGCATTGTCTGACATAGCGCCTGAAGGTGAAAGGATGGTGCAAAAAGACAGGGCAGGGTTCCACTGTACGTCCACAGGGTCGACTCAAAGGCACCACCAACAATGCAATGTTTAGGAGCTCTGTGGCCCAACATCTTCCTGCTAGACTGTCATGCAAAGGCCAAGTAAGGCAGCAGTCTGTGAGAATAAAGAACAATTAATTCAGGGCTGGGGCAAATTCCACTTTGTCCAGGTTGGTGCTAAAACAGCAGATGAGCTGTAGCACAAGATGTCTGGGGTGGCTATTTCTACATGCAGAGAACTTGGTGCACTTCTACTTCAGCATGCTACTAATTAAGAATGGCATATACCCTACTTCAAACTCAGCCTGCTGTCTACAACAAGGAAGGAGGGAGGGTGTTATGTTTTGCCTCCAGATTTAGACAACTGGTGCTCTTAGTGGCAGTGTAACACGTGTTGCCTCACTTCCCTCGTCTTAAAACATGTGAGTCACAGGATAACTTAAGAATTACACTCCCTGTCTCTTACACTGCACAAATTAAGTGAGACAAATCAAAGACTAAGTTTTCTTATTTTTTAAAAAATGAGGATCCTACACGTATTGGGTTTTTAATAATCTTTTCAAGTAGCAAACATTTTATATTCTCTTTCTATCTAATTTGGTGCAGCACTCTGATCACAGATTTAATTTACTAGAGTCATTTCTGGAGTTGTGGAATCACACATCAAGTCTGCAACTCCTATAGCTTTAAGAGAAGGTAATTCTCGTCCCAGAGTAAGAGAGGTGGCGCCAGCTCCCGGCTCTGCCACTCCCCGCCCGCGGGCAGGTACTCAGTTTCTCCCGGCTGCCAGCCCCGCCCCGCCGCCCGGCCGCCCCGCGGCGCTCGGAGCCACCGCCAGGGGTGCTGCGCTTCCCACCTGCTGGAGGATACGGCCGAGGGCCACTGCCCAGCCGCCTGGCCCACCGCTCCCCTGGCTTGGCCGCTTCCCGGCCACGGAAAGCCAGTAAGGGATATTGGCCAGGCGGCGTGGGCCTGGGCCGCGGAGGGCGCCCGAACCGCCTCCTCACCTTTTCCAGCCTGGGCGCTTCGGCCTACGGGAGAAGCCCGGAGCCTTCGCGCTGCCAGCTCCTTCCCCCGAGGGCGCGGGCTCGGGGCTCCCGGCGCATCCGCCCGCTCTCCGCAGCCCGCGCGGCCCGGGGCTAAGCGCTCCGCTCTGCGCCTCCGCGGACCCTGCACGCCCTCTTCCTCCCCAGCTCTCCAAGTCCGGACATGCCCCCTGTCGCTGCCAGCATTCGAGGCCCTGGCGTCCGAGTTAAACCCAGTCTCCCAACCCACGCCCCAGCTGCACACCCGGTGCAGATCAGCACCGAATACAAAGAGGCCTGTGCGTCCCTAGCCCTCGCCGCCGCCACACCCGCCCATGCCCACTCTTCTTCGACCTCCACGATGGCTGGACGCTGGGATCCCTCCTCTCTGAGCCCTCCTGCCCCTCCCCCAGTGTTAGTCAAGTCCACCTAGCGTTCTCCGAAATCCCGTGAGCTGGGGCCCACGACCGTCTCCCTCCGACCTCTCGGCCGCTCCTCCCGGCAGCCGGGACCGGCCAATCCCCCACCCCCACTCTAGCCGCTGTTCCTGTCCCGGCCCCTCCTCCGGGGCCCTCCTCCTCCCTCGCCCCTCCCGAGCCGGGGTGGGAGCGGCGGCAGCTGGAAGAGAAGGGATGAGGTCATCCTCTCCCTCGGAGTCAGCTGGTGGAGGAGAGGAAGCGGGAGGAGGGAGCGCTCGCGAGGGGAGGAGAGGAATGTGCAGGTCCGAGGAGCGCCGCGGCGGCCGCTGCTGCTCCTGCTGCTGGCGGCGGCGGCGGCTCGGGCGGCAGCCGCGGGGCCGGGACGGCGCGGAGCGCGGGCGGCGGGCAGGGGCGCGCGCTGGGTGCCGCGAGCAGCTTGGCTCCGCGCAGGCAGCCAGGCGGCGCTCCTGCCGGCCCCAGGCGCACCGCTAGCCCGGCCCAGCGCCCAGCCCGGCGGGCGGCGGGCGGCGGCGGGCGGCAGGCGAGCCGGCTCAGGAGCAGGAGGAGGGAGAGCCGCGCCGCCAGGGAGGGAAGCCGGGGCGAGGCGAGGAGGTGGCGGGAGGAGGAGACAGCGGGGAAAGGTGTCAGATAAAGGAGGGCTTTCCTCTGGTTTGGAGGCATCATGGCCGCTAAGTCAGACGGGAGGCTGAAAATGAAGAAGAGCAGCGACGTGGCGTTCACTCCGCTGCAGAACTCGGACCACTCGGGCTCGGTGCAGGCATTGGCTTCGGGCTTGCCGTCGGGGTCGGGAGCCGAGGACGAGGAGGCGGCCGGGGGCGGCTGCTGCCCGGACGGCGGCGGCTGTTCGCGCTGCTGCTGCTGCTGCGCCGGGAGCGGCGGCTCGGGCGGCGGCTCGGGGGTCTCGGGCGGCCCGGGCGGCGGCGTTGGCGGCCCGGGCGGCGGCGGGGCGGGCTCGGCGGCGCTGTGCCTGCGCCTGGGCAGGGAGCAGCGGCGCTACTCGTTGTGGGACTGCCTCTGGATCCTGGCCGCTGTGGCTGTGTACTTCGCGGACGTGGGCACGGACATCTGGCTCGCCGTGGACTACTACTTGCGCGGCCAGCGCTGGTGGTTCGGGCTCACGCTCTTCTTCGTGGTGCTCGGCTCGCTCTCGGTGCAAGTGTTCAGCTTCCGCTGGTTTGTGCACGATTTCAGCACCGAGGACAGCGCCACGGCCGCCGCCGCCGCCTCCAGCTACCCGCAGCCTGGAGCCGATTGCAAGACCGTGGTCAGCAGTGGGTCTGCAGCCGCGGAAGGCGAGGCTCGCCCTTCCACGCCGCAAAGGCAAACATCCAACGCCAGCAAAAGCAACATCGCCGCCGCCAACAGTGGCAGCAACAGCAGCGGGGCCACCCGGGCCAGCGGCAAACACAGGTCTGCGTCCTGCTCCTTCTGCATCTGGCTCCTGCAGTCACTCATCCACATCTTGCAGCTCGGGCAAATCTGGAGGTACCGTATCAGGGGTGGGGGAAGAGGCAGATCCGCTGCTGCTACTACATCCCCACTGCTTTGCTTTTGCACGAAAATCGTTTAGGGCTGCTGTGGTAGTAACCCTAGTCACACTCTTTCCGTTTTTTTTTTTTTTTTTTTTTAACTGGGTTTTGCTATTTTAAATTTGTGATCACAACCTAGGGTGGGAGGGATGTGAGAACCAACGGAAAGGCAGCAAAGTGGTTTTGATCACCTCCTCCCTTCTGTCTCCCCACTCTGCTTCACTGACTTCTCTTTCTTTATATGCTACAACCCCTCCCCCTCCCATTTTCAGTGATACTGTTTCAGTGAGTAGGAGAGGATTCCTGTCACGTCTTCTAAAATTCTCTTTTTATCATGTTGAATTTGAAGCGTATGTTGCAATTTGGATGGCTTCTTTTGTTCCCTGAGAAAAATTGCTAATTCTAGTTAGATGAGAGTTGCTGCTGCTCAAAAGTACCGATGTTTTAATGATCACTGCTATAGAAGTACTGCGCTCCAACTGAAGTAAGGAGATGGCTTGTCTTTTTTGGAGAACATCTGTATCTGTATCTATATCTATATTTATATCTATCTCCAAATATGACTAAGTACTTTATGAGACCTTGACTTACTTTTCTGGTGCACTTTCTGATCATCTTGCAATATCCCGCCCATATCTGGTTTCTCATATAACTAAGAACCCTTGGAAAAGAGGTGGTGCACTTGTTAACTTTAATCATACTTGGCATCTTCACTGACTGCTTTCCTACTTGTTGTCTGATCCACCAAGTCTTTTATCCACCAGATATCACTTCCACATACAAACTGGAATATAAGGCTAAACTTGTTTCGGGCAAAGGGAACCATCATTTGAAGTTACTGCCTGGATTTAGGAATATAATGAAACAATATGCTCAGGAATGTGTTCCTCTGACTTTCATATGTTTTTAGTAGCTTTTTGAAGTGACATTTTATGTCTAAAAAAATTCTTTGTATGGAAGCTTTAGATGCTAACATCCAGAGCATTTTTGGTTTAATATGAGTTAATTGGTGTGCAGTGTAAGTAAAATGAGGAAACTTCCTAGCAAGTGCACTGATATGAGGCTACGTTCTGCTATGCCAGTGTCCTTTTCAATTTCATTTGTAGTTATTTTTGTGGTAAAAGACATTATAAGTCAACTACGCTGAGGTCTTCCATGTGGAAACAACTTAGAGAATTTGTGGAGTAGAACTAAAAACTTCTTTTTGTTTATGGTGAGCAATAATGTTTTCACTGAGAGGAGTGAGTGTGATTATTTTGCAACCTTTCCTGCAACCATTCCTTTGTAAAGTAGGGTAAGCATTTCCATAGACAGTGATCTTTCAAATTGTGAAACTTTTTTTTATTTCAAGCAGATACTTTCTGGAAAGTAGTATATGATATACAATCAGACAAATTGATGTTGGAAACCTCCATGTCTTGGACTCAAAGGACTTTTTGAAATGTCAGTTCAATGTGCTAGCTGTATTTCCCATGGTTGACTTGTGCAAAGACTTACAGCTTCATGCTCTTCAAGTTAGATGAAGAACTCAAATGCTTGATTTAATTACTGAAATTGTTTAGTGGTAGGATGCATGTGATTATCAGTTTTAATCTGATAATGTGGTAAATGAAGCTGAACGTTCTATTTGTTACCTTTTGCAAACTTTCTACAGGATTTGAAAATCACTTACTTTCAATCAGATTTAAAATTTCTAGATTTATGTAAATCTAAATCTAAATCTATGTTAGAAGTGCAAACACTTCTCAATTCTATTAACTGAAGAACTCTCGCTGTTTCCTACAGATTGATGCTTTATGAAAAATCTTATGTCAAATTTTGGGAACTGAAGAAGTCATTTTAATTATAGTTGTGTTGGCTAGACCTTGTAAACCAAACATTTTCCCAAATGAAAAATATTTGGTTTGAAATGATAGTTAATATCTCATAAAATGCAGAAAGTGAGAAATAATCAGGGAAAGAAAAGGGCCTAAACACATCTTGGCGAGACCACAATCGCTGGGTGAACCAGCCATACAGAAAAGCTATCAAGGGAAGTAGGGATGGCAGGGTGAGGTTGAATACAGAAGGAAAACCACAGGCTGTCAGAAAAATGCATTAACCTACCCAGCCCCGGAGAAACTATGGTCACATATGACTCCTCTGTGTTAAGTGTTTCTACAACGTTTTCCTTAGAGGTTTTGAAGTCTGTTTCGCTAACGCATGCTTATCTGGGAGGAAGTATTGTTGGATCCAAGAACAGCTAGATGAGATAATTCAGACTTATGTATTAAACACATTATTCTGAAAGGGTAGACAAATATCTGAAAATATTTCCACTCTGAAATTATTGTATTAGATCATTATTTTAGACTGCTATGATTCCCTAAATTAGGAACACTCCTCTGCCTCTTCTAGCTTTTCTTTTCAATGTGTGGTACGCAAATGTTGCAGAAACACCAGGGTACTGGATGGTTCAAAGCTCAGAGGTCATTATTTATGTTTTAACATGCTGCTTTCTAACGTCAATAAAATAGATTTTAGCTAGGTTGCTAACTGTTCATTGTACTTCCATGAAATTCTAGTTAGTTTAGGTAAGGGCTAGATTCTAAAAGCTTTCTGTAGATAAAATCCTTTGAAATAACATCAAAGTGTTTGCTTGTTCAGAAATAGCTATTTGAAACAGTTTTGTATTTGTATGACAAGATTTGCATGTATTCATACATCGATTACGAATGCAACTGCTGAAAGCAAATATACACGTTCATTTTAATTAAAGTTTACTAATGGGAAATTAATGGCAGCATTGAAAGTCATGGGAATTAATGCTGGGAAAGAACCATTGGAAATAATGAAGTGAACTTTTGCTGCCATGTGAAAAGAGCATTTACGACTTTAAAGGAACTGTGCCTGAGAATGAATGAGAAAGTACTTTTCTTTCTTGTTAATTTCATGTAATTCCAGAAGACACAAAGAGTGCAGTTCAGCCAGTGAGAGTCACAAATGCCCAATCAGTCTTCATGTTCATGATCACTTATATGTAGATGTCTTCTTCCTTCAGAATTTATGACTTACTCTTAAAATTCTACCTGAATTTCTCCAATGTATCTATGTACATATTTAGTTGTTTTCTAGCAAATAGGCACGTTGCAAACAATAACTCAAGGGATGGTAGAGTGGGGATTATTTTTATTGTTTTGGTTTTTGTTTCTGACTATCTATCATGAGAATCATGTGAGGAAGACCAGGTGAAAGAAAGCTTTTTCTGCTTTTCTCATGCTCGATATTACACAAGCGATTATCATGTGGTCCATGTTCAGATAAATTGGGAAAATGACGGATTAAAGAGAGTTAAACAGATCTCTCTACAGCAGGACTTCTCGGAGCCTTTAATAAGTTAATGTGGAGTTGTCAGTAACTTTTTAAAGGCACACTTATTAAACACTCTTGTAATGATGTGCGAAACATTGTTCTATGCCATTCTTAAACCCAGCCAAACAAAAATAATAATAACAACAATTTTATATGGCACTTTAAAAAAAACTCTACAAATGGTCTTATATTCCTTATCTCATCTAAGTTTTACAGTCACCTAAGACGAAGTCGTTAGTATCTATATATGTGAAAACTGGCTCAGAGAGATCGAGTAACTGGCGCAAGATTACCCCACTATTATGTGTTGTAGCTCAGAGTCAAAACCTGGTCTGTCTTACTCTAAAGTCTATGCTCTTTCTGGCTCCATTAGTCACCTCCAAATGCCAACTTGGATAATAAGGACAACAATGTATAAAAATGACAATTTACCTTTACTAAAGAGGGCAAAGTGGGAGAGGGAGCTGCAGTTTAGACAAGTTAGGAGATCGTTCCAACAGCACACCAGTAGTTAAATGGCAGAACAGAGACTTCAGCTCAGATCATCTGACTCTAAGCCCACCCTTCCTCTTACTACACCATTCGGACACGCTGAGGCTGTTGCATTAAATCCAGACTGAATAACATGATCTTGTAGTGGTGTTAGTGATTAAATGGCATCGTGTGTGTGAATAAGTGAAAAGTGCTTTGCAAATAATGAAGAGGTTCTAGCGATAAGGAATGGATAGGAAAATAGAGAACATATAGATTATACCTTCATCTACTGAAAAAGTACTTTATTGATCCTGAGTTAGTTCTGATTTCTGGTAGAAGTCAGGCAAGATTGGTACCCTGTCCTGAGTTGACTGAATGGTCATTTTCAGTGTATCTGTGCTTCCTCTACTGCATATTAATTAATTTATTCATTCATCATATCTTAAGCACCTACTCTATGCAAGGCACTGTGCTAGCTACTAATTATCCCAAGATGAATAAAACACACATCTTCTTTCAAGGAATCTACTGTCTGATAAGGAAGACAGAAAAAAGAACAGACAATTTTAATACAGGGAAGTAAGCACCATGATAGAAACAGGAAACTCAAACCACCTTAGTGGTTCAGGTAAGACTCCTAGAGCAGGGGATGTTTGAGCAAAGGTTTGGATGATGAGAAAATCTGCTCTCTGAATAGAGAGCCTGTAGAGCCTTGGATATAACTGTGTAAAGGCAGAGGGGCAAGAAAGAACAAGGCGGGTTGAGTGTGTGCTTTGAATGAGTGAGAGATCGTAGCTAGAGATGAAGATGGAAAATCACTTGGACTGGACAATAAAGGGAATTTAGATTTCATTCTGAAGATGTTGAGGAGCCATAGAAGGATTAGAATGTGGGGAAGGATTCTCAACAAAAGTGTCAAAACATTGTTTTATCCAAAGGAATGGCAAAAAGCTAAAAGTTTCAGGAGATATGTCATCAATTCTCCTCTGATTCAGTCATCTCTTTCATTCATGAAAATTCATTGATTTTAAAGGGAATGTGTTTGTATGTAATTGGGGCATATAAATAGGCCCAACATTGTGGTAGAGTTGTTTTTCAAAAAAAATGGATTGGTTGAAATTTTTAATTGTG